AAAAAAAAAGGCATCTCAGCTCTGACATTATCCAGTACAGGGTAAGTGGCCAGACAATTGCTAAGAAGTGCAGTGCACCCTCTCAGCAGAAGTAAAAGTGCTTCCCACACCCTGTCTGTACCTTGGGAGGACTCCTCCTCCCACTTCCTTTCTCCTAAGGCCACTCTTACAGTTACTGTAACCCCAAGTCACGTGAATAAACTGGGCAAGGGGAGCACCAGGAGTAGGAAGTACAGGAGCTCATCCCAGTACCTGGGAGGAAAAGAGCAGAAGTGGGTATTTACCAGGCGGACTGTGACACTCACTGCCTCTCTGGGCCTCATGACAACCTCTCAGGGAAAGCTGAGGTTTGACAGCTGAGGAAACTGAGGCAGGGAGGGATGAGCTACCTTACCAAGACAATGCTGTGAGTGGTGGGATCAACAGAGCCCTGGACATGCTCCTCTGACGTATGAAAAGCAGGAAGACTTCTCAATGGATCAGACCTTCAGCCCAGAGAAATCTCAAGATCCTCCCACAAACCCCACAAATAGGAATTAGAAAGACTCAGAGATTCAAGAAGCACAGAAGAAGGTCGCCCACTAGTTAAAAAAAGTATCTCTGTGCTTAAATTCCCAGTGTAATATAATCTGGCCCCTCAAACTGATGGCTCCTGAGTGAACCTCTCCTTCCTAAAGCATTCGGCTAAGATTTCACCTGTTCCTTCCTCTGACAGTTTCAGGCTTTGCAACTGCTCTGAGCTACACTTGACATCCTTATACGATGACTTGTAAGCCACATTTTGTCAGCATATGGGTAACTGTAACACCGCCAGAACCGGCCATGCTCTATTCATATTCGTGTACTCATGAAGACCCAGAGACTTCCAGTAAGGTTAATTAATAACTGTTTCCACTTTCATTTCAGGAAACTGGCCTACAAAATCTATTGCCCAGGAAGCATCTCTGGATACTTCCTTAGAAGATAGTCAGGGTAGATCCAAGCCACCTTCATCTTTATGGGGAAGTGAATCTCAGCTCGCTGAGAAAGGAGAATGGGGAATGAAACAAGGATTGAAAGCAGATGCTCATGTTTTCCTGAGAGCAATAAAGCCAAGAAACGAGGCTCCTTGTCCACACAAGGGAGCGACTGGAACAAATCCACAAATGCAGCTGGGATGCTAAGATAGTCCATTAAGGGCCTCTTGCCTCCCTAAAGCTTTATTTGTTGTATGAGCTCTTGAAATATGACAAGCTACATTTATAGGACGTTTGGTCAGAACGCAAGTAGAATCACTCCTGTGACTTTAGAATGAAGATCTCTCAGAGCAGGACTGTGTCCAGAAGCGAAGTCAGGCTGTGGAGGCCTGCCTCCCTCCCTCTCATGGGGCAGAGGCCTGAGACTGGGCATCTGCAGTCGCCTATATGGAAGAGGGGAGACATTCATATGTAATTTTTCATTTTATAATTTTTAAATGTTATAAAATTTCTCTAATAAACAGAAAAATATGTGACTTGATTAACCAAATAACTCAATAAAAAGAAATAATGATTGTGCATGATTGTGGACAGGTATGCAAGTAATCCCTGGCTCTGGTGCGGACAGAACTAGCTGGATCTGCCATGGTCTTCAATCTTTTCATTAGGACACAGAAACAACTCCAACTTAAGATGAAAAAAAAAGATTTAAACCAGCAGCCCAGAAGAAAAAGATCTGTTTTACCTACTATCAATCAGAGGCCCTCCATTCCTCACTAGCTTGGACAGTTTTTCCCGTTTTTTCATACCTACTACGCAAAGCAAGTTGGTAAAGAACTCTCTCAATTTGTAATTCACACAGCACAGAGAGTCCATGTTACTAGGCAAGATACCAAGAGAAAATTTTTAAAAAAGAGTCCAACAGAATTCCAAAAAACTAAATAGCAACCCCCCCCCCCC